ACTATTTGCCACATCACGAGGTTATAACTTCGTACAAAACGACGGGACGGAGAATTGTTCACGATGCTTCGGGATATCTTAAAGCATGAAAAGTCTAAACGATGTCCTGTATCGTGGATGTGTAATGCTTCCTGATCTAGTCGGAATATTCCTTCGCTTTCGAGTGATGAGAGACGTCATTATTGCAGACGTGGAGAAAGCATCTTTGCGACTAAAAATGCATTCGGTTGACATCTGGGCAAAAGATATTGTAAAGCCAGTCACTGAAGGAAATGTATAGTGCTATCACTTCAGAAGAGTTCCTTTTGAAGTAATCGCATCATCTTCCCCGCTCTTCAAGTCATTGGAGACCCAACAAGAACTCTCGGCATCACTTGAATGTATGACAAAAACATAATTAAGGTGATATTTAAGTCATGGAATGAGCAGGAGATCACAAAACGAAGCATTTTACGATTTGTGGCTTCTCAGCATGATCCTCTAGGATTTTTAGTTCCTGCGATGATACTAAAATTATTTCTTCAAAGCTTATGGGAAAAGAATAAAACTTGAGATGAAATTCTAAAGAGAAGGAAGAAATGTGGAAATCTCTCGTCAAAAAGTGGGCAATAAATGTTATCGAAATATCGCGGATGGTAATAAATTCTACAAAACAAATGCAAATTCATTCTTCATAGACAGTTCAAACATGAAGTATGCAACAGCGATATATGTTTCTAAACAGTAATGTTATAAGGATGGAAACATCATTGATTTCAATCAAATTTAAACTGGCTCTAATTAAAAAGGTGAGCATGCCTCGATTAGAAATACTTGCGATACTTACTGGTGTACAAGCAGTAAAGTTTGTCACGCAGCTATTAGAACTAAACAGGTATCTAATAGCTCATTGGTCGGACTCGAAATGTGCATTACATTGGATGCAAAACTACTCAAAAAAGATTCGTACAGAATCGGGTAGAAGAAATATGGAAAGCAAAAAATTTTATTTCGATATATTTCAAGTGAGCATAACCCTATGGTTGTTGCTACAAAAGGGCTTCCTTCAGGGAAAACTAAACGAATACGAATTATGATAGAAAGGACCACAATGATTAAGAGAACCAAAAACTAAATGGCTTTATTAGAAATATCAGACCATGAAAGGAATACGAAGACGAAACAGAAGGACGAATCATTGCAAAAGTCACGATTCAAAAAATCAAAAATACAAAACTTTCGGATTATCTACGCAAGCTGATTTCGTAAGGTATCAAAGTTAGTGAAAACGACGATTTAGGTTCTTGAATTTATGAGAACAAGGAGGGGAAAATTATCATGGAGGTATGGTAAAAAATAGCCATGCCTCATGGCATGGCTTATTGTGCAACCACAAATAGATACTGAAATGTCTTTGTGATATTCTCACCATTACTAGCTTAAATTCTCTTCATTGCTTTAATCTTACAGTATTTCATCATCCTCTCTGATAGATATTGTGGAAATTTTACTTGGACATAATTTTAATTTCGGTATTCTGACATCAAATTTGAAAAACATTCTTATGAATTGCTGCTATTATTGACATACATTTTTTCTAATAACAAAAAGAATACACAAAAAAGAAAAAAAAAAAACAGAAAACATGTCGAAATCCTAATTACTAATAAATTAAAGTTTCAATTTCCAACAATCATTATTTTTTAAATTTCAACAGACATTTTATAAATTAAAACATTTGTCAATCTTTTCAAATATTTTGCAAACACCGCTCCAGCATCCTTCCAAAAGCTATGCGGCAAGGAGAATTCAATATTGTGCAATTTGATCGATAGTTCCTGAAAAAATTAAATGAAATAATAAATTCGTTAATTTTATCACTCTAACATGCATTTACTAATTAACACATGTGCATTTACGTGCACACAAAACACACTGTGATAATAACTTCGCAAAAATTGCTGCTGCAATCACCAATGACTGTTCACACTTGATTAATTTATTCATTCATGCAATAATCTCCAAAATAAATTTTGTATTTGTATCAGACATTAATTAATTTTCATTTTTAATCAGTAAGATTTTAAGGCATATATAAAAAGTGAAATTTAAATTTAACTGACAGAAGTAAAAGTCACTGTAATCATTACTGTTTCTGAAAAGATTGATTGTCATTATTGCACTTGCAAAGTTTTCTTTTGTGGATAAGTTATCATGATATGTTTCAATTTAAAAAGCAAAAAGGGTTTTACAAAAGAAAAAAATAAAATTAAAAAATTGAAACAAAGAACAACCATTTCTCTTGAACCTTAATTATCAGTTCCTGTTGTCAACTTTTGTAAATTCTTTTCTAATTCTATTATGAAATTAAATTTTAGAATAAAATTGAAAAATCAATGAGAAATTAACCTTATCATATCTGCTACCATTAACAAATGCGATAACGATGTTATCCTTGGCAACATATTCGCCTACATTACGACGCCATACTTGTTTATCGGATATCTCTGTTCTAATGATCACATCATCTGGCTTATAACCTTGTATGTTATAAGTTATGGTCGGATTCAATCCAACATTGCATAACATTTCAGTTAACTGCAAAAATTCTAATAAACTTTAGAGAAAAAAGAAGGATACCCCTAAATAGTCAAATTTCTTGGAGGAGAAATTAAACAGTTTCAGAATCTATCTTATCATTTCTGAATTGATCGATTCACAAATTCTTGTTAATTTCTCCTAGAAATATATAAATATTGAAGACAAATCAACAGGATAAACATTTTACTATTAGATATTGCAAGAAAAAGGAATCAAAAACAAAAAACCCTTAATCACTATATGATATTCTATTTGTCCGGAAAATTTTTCCGTTGAGAAATTCAACAATTCCGGGTTTAATCATTCCTGAAAGTATTATCTAGTGAAGGGAAATTCCTGATGAGAAAATGAAATGAGATCTTTCTAATGAAAAATATTTTTTTGAGAGTGTTTGGTAATTTCAATTATAATTGGATTTCAGAAATTACATACTGCTTGATCTATTGAATTTTGCAAATTATTCAGCGCTTCCGCCGTTGTTCGTGCTTGGCCAGGATATCGAATTGACATCGCTTTAGTTGGGACTGTTGTTGGCTCTTCAGTAGTAGGCTGTTCAGTAGTAAGCTCGTCAGTGGCTTGATGTATTAACTTCTGCAAATTACTTAGCGCTTCCGCTGGTGTTCGTGCTTGTCCAGGATATCGAATCGACATGGGTTTAGTTGGAACTGTTGTAGGCTCTTCAGTAGTAGGCTC